AAAAAAAAAAAAAAAAAAAAAAAAAATATTTAAAAAGCTTCAAGAGAGTAATGATTTCGTAGAAGGATATATAAGGGAAGTGAAGATGGATAAAAACCCAACCATAGGTTTGTTTTTATTATTATTATTTATCCAATCCTGGGAAACCTGGGGAACCGGTCACATGTAGAATTTTGAAAAAATAAAAGAAAAAGAAAAAGAAAAAGAAAAAAGGGTGGAATGAAAAATGAGTCGAATCTCCAATGATTGGGGTGAAGGAAAGGGTAATTAAATAAATAATAAAGAATAAAGAATAAAGAATAATAAATATGAGGGATTTTGGAAAATGAAAAAAAGCTGCTATCTCTTTTGTTACGTATCAAAGTTGATGGATTCCACTCCCATCATCATTCAATCTAAATTCAGATGGGATCTAAAGGGTGGTGGTGTGGTGGAAGAAACAAGAAAAGGAGTGGAATTAGTAAATTTTTATCCAAATATCACCCACTTCCCCCCCTCTTCTCCTGCTCTTCGCCTTCAAAACTGTTCCCAAATAAACTCTCTCTCTCTCTCTCTCTCTCTCTCTCTCTCTCTGTAATCTCTCTCATTTCTCTCCCACAAAAAGCACTTCATAACTCAGAGTAGTCTCTCTCTCCTCCTCCTCCTCTCTCTCTCTGTAATCTTTCTCTTTTCTCCCCCACCGATACAAAAAGCATTTCACAAGTCACAGAGTAGGTCTCTCTCTCTCTTTCTTCCCTCTCTCCCTCTCTCCCTCTCTCTCTCTTCTCTCCCACCAATACAAAAAGCATTTCATAAGTCACAGAGTAGGTCTCTTTCTCTCTCTTTCCCTCTCTCTGCTTCTGTAAGCTTCTCTCTCTCTTCTCTCTCTTCTCTCCCACCAATACAAAAGCACTTCACAAGTCACAGAGTAGGTCTCTCTCAGTCTCTCTCTCTCTCTCTTCTCTCCCACCAATACAAAAAGCACTTCACAAGTCACAGAGAACGTCTCTCTCAGTCGCTCTGTTTGCTTAAGTTTCCACCAAAAGTGAGTATCGTAGCACATCCAAGGAACTTCACTTCTACTTATAAGTTCCTTTCATTCCTTCTACAATCTCCATTTCTCACCCAATTCCCTGCAACCAAACACTCCCTTTCTAGAAAAAAGAAAAAAGAAAAAAATGATGAACACTTACTGTTCTTCCCTGCAAGCTGAAGAAAACCCTCTTAAGTTACTGTAAGAATTTATGATCTGTTTGGGAAGATGCTGAATTAAGGGTCGAGGATAGAGAGTTTCTAGCAGAGGAAATAATGGAGGAGATGGAGTAAGTTCTTGCTTCAGGTAAGATTTAAGCATCAAAAGCACTTACAAACAGTAATGGAAGAATGATATGCAAATTTTCTTCTTCTTCTTCTTCCTCCAGTTTACTTCCATGATGAGCAATAGTTTAGCTTTGATATGAGTGGCTTTGAAGTAAATCTCTTTCTTCTTTTCCACTAATCATGAATATCATGTACCAATTATGAAGGAAAATCCACTTGTTCACCCAAAAATGACATCCTAACATACACCTGTTTTTGTTTTTGGTTTTCCTTTGATTCATATCTTTTCATCCCAACAACCACTGATTTTCTGTACACTATATATCAACAGTTGATATGGAACTGTATTGTTTTTCCTTTCATGACTACAGATGTTTGGAGTGTAGGTGCCACGAAGGGTATTGATCGAGCGGACTCGATCGTAGATACTGTGAGGATTATTCTCAATCTCCCCAATGGAGAAGTTCCATGTTTATTCCCTGTTGATCTTTCTTTTGGTTTCAAGTCTTTTTGTTTCAACTCTGTCTCTTCCGATCGAGACTCGAGCATTGCTTCGTTTCAAAGAGAATCTCAAAGACCCGGCAGGTTTTCTTCATTCTTGGATTGATTCTGAATCCCCTTGTGGGTTCTCCGGTGTTACTTGCGACCGGTTTTCCGGGAGAGTTGTTGAGATTTCGTTGGAAAACAAGTCGCTTTCTGGTGAGATTTCTCCATCTATTTCTGTTCTGCAAAGTCTCACAACACTTTCATTGGCCTCAAACCACATTTCTGGGGTACTTCCTTATCAACTGATGAACTGTAGCAATCTTAAAGTACTGAATCTCACTGCCAACGAAATGGTTGGGAGAATTCCTGATCTTTCTCAGCTGAGAAATTTGGAGGCTTTTGATCTATCTATCAACTTTTTCTCTGGTCAATTCCCATTCTGGGTTGGGAATTTAACTGGATTGGTATCTCTTGGTCTAGGTGAAAATGAGTTTGAGACAGGTGAAATACCAGAATCTATTGGAAATTTGAAGAACTTAACTTGGCTATATCTAGCGAATGCTTATTTGAGAGGAGAAATACCAGAGTCTCTGTTTGAATTGAAGGCAATACAGACATTGGATCTTTCAAGGAACAAACTTTCTGGTAAACTCTCCAAGTCAATATCCAAGTTGAAGAATCTGAATAAGCTTGAACTTTTTGTGAACCGTTTGACTGGAGAAATCCCACCAGAGATTTCGAACCTTACCCTTCTGCAAGAAATCGATATTTCGGCAAATAATTTCTACGGGGAGTTGCCTGAAGAGGTCGGGAACCTGAGGAATTTGGTGGTTTTTCAGTCGTATGAAAACAACTTCTCTGGAAAGCTTCCTGAAGGGTTTGGAAATATGCAGAATCTTACTGCATTTTCCATCTATAGGAACAACTTTTCTGGGGAATTTCCTGTGAATTTCGGCAGATTTGCGCCTCTCGACAGTATTGACATATCAGAGAACCAATTTTCAGGTGATTTCCCCAAGTTCTTGTGTGAGAATGGGAAGTTGCAGTTCTTACTTGCTCTGGAAAATAGATTTTCAGGTGAGCTGCCACTTTCTCTAGCTGAGTGCAAATCACTGCAAAGGTTCAGAATAAGTAACAATCAAATGTCAGGCAGGATTCCAGATGAGGTTTGGGCTCTTCCTAATGCAAAAATGATTGATTTTAGTGACAATGAATTTACTGGAGTCATATCCCCAAACATTGGTTTATCAACTAGCTTGAGCCAATTGATTTTGCTAAACAATAAGTTTTCAGGTAAGCTTCCATCAGAGCTTGGCAAGTTGACAAATTTAGAAAGGCTTTACTTGAGTAACAATGACTTCAATGGAGAAATACCTTCTGAAATTGGTTTTCTCAGGCAACTTTCATCATTACACCTGGAAGTAAATTCTTTGAATGGATCAATCACACTGGAGATTGGGAATTGTGAAAGACTTGTGGACATAAATTTTGCTCACAACTCTCTTAGTGGCACTATTCCATCTTCATTTTCATTAATCAGCTCTTTGAACTCTCTGAATCTCTCAAGCAACAAACTTACAGGGATAATCCCGGAGTACTTGGAGAAAATGAAACTAAGTTCGATTGATTTGTCGGGTAATCAGCTCTTTGGAAGGGTTCCATCCAGTCTTCTGGCAATGAGTGGAGACAAAGCATTTTTGGACAACAAAGAACTCTGTGTTGATGAAAACTACAGAGAAAGGATAAAAACAAGCCTGACTACTTGTACTGGAAAGCATAGTCAAAAAGGGGTGCTAGAGGATAAACTTGTATTTTTCAGTATCATAGTCTCCATCTTGGTTTGTGTATTAGCAGGGCTAGTGTTGGTAAGTTGTAATTACTTGAAGCGCAGTGAGACAGGCTCAGAGACCAGTCAGGAAGGGGATCAACAAGGAGCTCCAAAATGGAAAATTGCATCATTTCATCAAGTGGAAATTGATGCAGATGAAATAGGCAACTTTGAAGAAGACAATTTGATAGGGAGTGGAGGAACGGGAAAAGTTTATCGGTTGGATCTGAAGAAAAACGGCAGTACGGTGGCTGTTAAGCAGCTCTGGAAAGGAGATGCAATGAAGGTGTTGGCAGCAGAAATGGAGATTTTGGGGAAGATAAGACATAGAAACATCTTGAAGCTCTATGCTTGCTTAATGAGAGAGGGATCTAGTTATCTAGTTTTTGATTACATGATTAATGGAAACCTGCGTGAAGCACTTCAAAAACAAATCAAAGGTGGGCAGCCTGAATTGGACTGGAACCAGAGGTACAGGATTGCCTTGGGGGCAGCAAGGGGAATTGCTTACTTGCATCATGATTGTTCACCGCCTATAATTCATAGAGATATAAAATCAACAAACATACTTCTAGATGGAGATTATGAACCAAAAATAGCTGATTTTGGAGTGGCAAAGGTTGCAGATCAGTTTCAAAGTGTTTCAGAGAACAGCTCTCTTGCTGGCACTCATGGTTATATTGCTCCTGGTGAGTTATTCTCTCCAATCAGCCTCCCTATTTTTCCCCCCACTAGATATTACTTGATGCACTTGATAAACAAATACTTCCATTGATGACCTTTCTCTTGCAACACTTGCAAATTTCTAGCCTAATATTCATACTTCTAATTTCATTCTGATCAACTAGGCATTTTTCTCCTTTTGTAAAAAGTCGCCTAAAGTTCAACTTGTTTCTGCTCTACAGATACAGATGTATTTTGCTTGTTGTTTAACATCATCATAATCAAGTTGAACATGAAAATAATATTAACTAATTCATGCAACTTTCCTCTACAGAGCTAGCATATACTCCAAAAGTTTCAGAAAAGAGTGATGTGTACAGTTATGGTGTGGTGCTGTTGGAATTGATTACTGGTAGGAAAGCAATCGAAGATGAATATGGAGAAGGAAAAGATATTGTTTACTGGGTTTCAACACACCTCAATGAGCGTGATAATGTTCTCAAGCTTCTGGACGTTAAAGTTGCATCTGAAGTCGTCCAAAATGACATGATTAAAGTCCTGAAGATTGCTGTACTTTGCACAACAAAGCTTCCATCACTTCGCCCTTCTATGAGAGAGGTAGTGAAGATGCTATTAGACGCTGATCCTTACTCTTCTTCAATGCCCCTGAAAAACAGTTCAACTAAAAAACATTTCGTTTAGTTCATCAATGAGAATGTAAGATAAGTCTTTGCCGTAACGATCAAAGTACTCAAGATTTTTGCTGCTGCAATCAGAGTCTTTGCCATCATATAAGACCATAGCCTGTATTCAATTAGTGAGTTCTGGAGATCTCCCACAAACTCAGACCTTAGCATAAAACTAAGGATAATATATTTGTAGAGCTCATCAAATGAAGTGTGTATAAGAGAATTTTCTTTCCTGAAGACTGTTGAAGTCCTATTCCTTCACATTTAAAAAGCGAAGTTTCTTTTATACATAACTACAACATTGATGCAAAAACATTGTCCAACTTTCAAGTTGGAAGTTTCACATCAGATAATTTCCGAGGCCCATAAGCGAAATTTATGGTGTCCATGATGCGATCACTCCCACCGTAATGACAAAACATGGAAGAGATCCTGCATTTGTATGGTAAATGGTATCAGATGTTAGTTTTCAACAATCCATCCACCAACCACCTCCCTGCCAGCAATGGTGTCCGGTGCCAATATCCAAGGGCCTGTTTACAACAAAATATGTTAATAGTTTCAATCCTTACAAACAGGTTTCTTTGATTTGTTACACACTTCTAGAAACGTGTGTTAGATCCTATAAACCATTCCCTTCTGCACAAGGAGCTCTAGTTGTCCTGCAAAAATAAGACAAGACAGAAGCACATGGGCAAGAGATTGGAAAAATCAGAGAAGACAATGGAAAACTTCTTATTGGGAGTGCATATTAAGAATGTAAGCATACGAAGATACCCATCAATATCTTCCTATTACAGTCATAAATTATGAACTGCACCCACCACCAAACAGTCTCAAATACTAGGCATTCATTATTTTGGTTCCTAAAATTCTCAACTCATAACATATTTATCCTAATTATAAGACAAAACGTCTCAACACGCAGAAATAGTTGGAGAGACAAGAGACTAACAGAACAGACTGTTTTCCCTTATTTGGTTTGTTCTCAAGTCATGATTTGAATTCAAAAGAAATGCTGAGAGTCTATCAAAATGCTAGATTGAGTCAAAAACCTCAGTATTATGAATGACAAGACATCTAAAGGTAAGGAAGCTTCTCAAACTATTTTTCAATTTAGCTCAAGCAAACTTATTACACTATTAAGAATTGATTTATCTCAAATATACAAAAATTGCAAATAAACAGTTCATGATAGGTAATTTATCGATCCCTTGATGCATCAAAATTGCACCAGTAATCATTTTTTCCATTACAAATAGTCAGACCAGTTTTCATTTAACGCCTACCATACAAATCATTAAATATAATGAAATAAAAAACCTATGCTTACCATAAAAATTATCGAAGCAAACGAAATGGAAAAAACCCTAAGAATTTATCACTCTTCTTTGAAATTCCATTTCAATCATTTTATTGATACTACTACATTGGGTAAGATGAAAGTAAATGCACTACAAGCTTTTCTGGTCTCAAGCCACCTCGTAACACTACATAATGATGTTTTCTCATGTTTATTGCTTTTGTACAGAGTCACAGTAAAAATGTAATTAATAGATAAGGCTTCCCTATCCACCGAAAAAAAATGATACAAAAAAGATCCATTTCGCTGAGTATGTAATCTCACAAACTCAAAAGGGGCCTAACCATGCTGCAAGTTATCTATGTGGCTAGAGATCCTATAGCAGCCTTCCGTTGCTCTAGAAGTCCTGTTAGCAGTCTATCTATTTGATCAAATACAACTGCCTTTGGCGCATTTCCATTCACCTGAAAGGAGGAAAAATAGTTTTCGAGTACTATACTGATGAACAGATGCAGAACAACCACAATTGATACTATACAAGTCAGTAATGTTCATCATTTGTGATTTCTTTTGGACAATAAAGACATTTAGACCTTATTTGATAGCCATTTTATTTTTTATTTTTTGTTTTGAAAATTGTGTTTGAATTTCATAATTTTTCTATCATGGATTTCATCTTTCTTTAGTTAGTTAAATTTTGAAAACAAAAACAAGTTCTTGAAAACTACTTATATTTTCCAAAAATGTATGCGGGAAATATCATTTATATGCTTAATTTTTAAAAAACAAAAAATACTCTGTGAGGCAAAAGGAATGAAAATTTATCAAATCCATAGAGTCTTTACTAATTCAGATTCTCAAGTAAAATAAAGGCATTTACCAGAGACTTCTTCCAGAAATGAAAAGAATAAACAACAGGCTAAATGCACAGGTACATTTCTCTTGTTCTTTTTTCGTTTTTTGAATTTCTGTTTTCCCCAATAAGGGGAGTGATGGTCGATGGGGGCTAAATTGCATACCTTAACTGTTACATCTTGATACAATGAAAGAACATCCTCCAGATTCTGGTGGTGAGTCTGCAATCTTAACCTCACCTGAAACCCCCAATGGCAGGGAACACAGTCAATATTTCAATAGCGCAAGTGCTCAGAAACAGGCAAAATTATGGAGATTAAGAAGCTTGCCCAAGAATGATCCAAACAAAACCTTGTTAAATATACACACCACCATAGATAATGGTTTGAAATGACAGACCAAAATAGATACAGTGTTAAAGAAAATACCCTTTCTTCAGTATCATCAAAGCGCTGTGTAAGTCTGGCAGCAACTTCTTCATTGTCGGGAGGAAAATACTTCAAGTGATATATCTTACCAGTAACGGGATCCAGTCTTCTTCCAACAACTCTCTCAACAAGAATTTCTTCGGGGACCTACAATTATAAACCGAGGTTGCTGTAAGTTCTGGTCTTGAAGATGTTTGTTAAGAGTAGACCATAACAAAAGCTATGATCCCCGTGGCATAGCATACAATGCACATAAGGTAGTGAAATTTTCGTAAAAGTAATGCTAATCCACTTAGACATCATCAAAAATTCAAAAAGCCACAAATCAAGATAAAAATGCGTATGCAACCCAAATCAACCTACCGACATTAAATTTATTTTGCTTTTTTCTTCTTTTTCCTGATAGAAACCCATGTATTAAAAAACAAAAAAGAACCAGTACTGACACTCCTCAATCTTGGCAATTCAGTGTAAAAGTGCAAGTTTTGAAACTTAAATCAGCATCATTGAACAAATCTTACTTCAAGAAGAATGAAAAGATCAGGCTCAAAGCCAACTTCCTTAAGAGCATTTGCTTGAGAAGAACTCCTAGGATAACCATCCAAGAGCCAACCCTTTTCCTGAGCATCAGGTTGTGACAGCCGCTCCTTTACCATCTACAAGATACTGGCAGGCACATTACAGACGAAAATTACCACATACGAAAATAATAATATAGATTTTCCTACCAGCGCAACTATTTCATTAGGAACTAATAGTCCTTTCTCCATGTAATCTTTCGCTCGCTTCCCATTTTTGCTGCCACTATTGACTTCTGCCCTGAGTAAATCTCCAGCAGCGATATGCACCAAACCATACTGCACATAGGAGAATGACTTGATTCAATCTGCTATTCTCCAGGGGAAATAAAACATGAGAAATTTATAGAGCATAAACAAAGATTGTAGGGCAATAACAAAAATTGAAGTATGAGCACAGACAGGGAATAGGTTTGGTCAAAACATATAAGACTTCAATGGAGATATAGGCATCAAGAAAAATGGAAGTAAGCCTACTAAAGTGGAAACTGATCATCACATATCGATTTACAGTTGATACTTGTTTTCCCCAAATAAGGAACAGCCACAATAGTGTTCAATAGTGAATTATATCATCTTTATCCTTTTCTAATAGAAAAGGATAAAATGGAGAATAGCTCAAGAATCTACTTTCTTAACTCAAATCTACCCTCTCCAAATTCCTTGACTTTTATTTTTTAATATCTGGGAGTATTCGGGCCCGCTTGTGGGAACTTCAATTATTCTCACGGAACAACCATCTAACCATACTACATTATCTTTCTTGATCACTCAGCTAACTCATTTCCCAACTCCAAGAAGTATTTTCAAATATTCTTCCTAGAATGTCCATGTAACGGTCCAAGCCACCAATCATTATTGTCTTCTTTGGACTTTTTCTTTTAGGCTTTCTCTCAAGATTTTTAAAACGCGTCTCCTACATATTATCCTCTTTGGACTTTCTCTTTTGGGCTTCCCCTCAAGATTTTTAAAATGCGTCTCCTAGGGAGAGGTACATTACAATTCTAGGGAGAGGTTTCCACGCCCTTATAAAGAATAATTCTTGTTCTCCTCCCCAACCGATGTGGGATCTCACAATCCACCCCCTTTGAGGTCTAGCGTTCTCACTGGCACTCGTTCCTTTCTCCAATCAACGTGGGATCTCACAGTCCAAACTCTAACCTCTTTTAGAACGGGCGAGGGGAGAGAATATTAGGGAAAGCATCTTCAGTACACACCACGCCCTCCTCTTCTCGGCAAATTATCCTAATCAGCGGAGTTTAAAACATATGAAGCTGATAGCCTCCAGATTAAGATTTTACCTCCTCACAAACAATGGCGACCTAAATTCTCTGTCGGAGAAATAGATATATGCAATTAGCATAGCTTATTGTCAGTGAGGGCCAATAGAAAAATAGAATATTTCGGAGGCTCGCTTGTTAATGAAATTGCTTACTTTCCGAGTAATAAGTTCGCATTGTGTGCCTTTGCCTGAAGCAGGAGCACCGGATATCTTGATTCTAAGAGGCTCTGGCGTTGCACGCGCCGTAACCTGCCAGCATATACAACCAAGTTCAATCGACATAAACAACAAACCACTCAATTTCCAAAGCGTTATCGGGGTTAAAAGGAGTGAATCCCACGATCATATCGGCACATTGTAAATTCCGCCACTAAAACGTGTTTGATTGTAAATAAAGTTCGAACTCGAAGTTCTTCCATTCCCTAACTACTAGCAATTTCATATCGTTTTAATCACCCGGGAGTTCACCAAAATAATAATAATAAGTCAAAAGCCGCATTCTGTTCTCGTTCAATCCGACTAATTCCACCAACACTAAGAACATTCACCAAAAAGATAAAATCAAATCGACTCAAATTTAGATTAAAAAATTGCGATCAAGTCGACTTAAATTTAGATTAAAAAAATGCGATTAAATCGACTCAAATTTAGATTAAAAAAATGCGATCAAATCGACTCAAATTTAGATTTAAAAAAATGCGATCAAATCATACAGTAAATACATGAGAAATCGTAGCTTTCGGATACAGCGAAATATCCAAGCACGGTAGACTTAGGTCTCGGCAGTGACGAGTAAACGAGATTGAATTGTTCGAAACATAAGGCAAATGATTCGGTTGCCGTTGCCGAGACGACAAGAGTCGATTCGGACAAGCAAACGCTGTGAAACTCGAATAATAGAGCGCCATGCTTCAGCTTCCTCCGACTCACTCTCCGCTCAGCTCCACCGCTGTCCGTCGGAACCTCCGGCACTCAGCAGAAGCAGCTTCACTAGAATCACTCCAGTGAAACGCCGTCGATCTTGATCTTGATGTTATCGAAGCGAAGTGACCGCCACTTTTCCTCTTTGTTTTCGTCCAAAAAACTCAGCTTATTATTTGCTTTCCATTTTTGGATGTTTAATCAATTCTTTGGTCACTTTAATCAACTTGGAGTTGTCGTTCCTAAGTTTCGAAACTTTAATTTGATTCGATATTGAAAGAGGGCATTTTTGGCATTTCACACGTGATCAATGTATTTCACGTTTTTTTGCTTTTATTTGTGATTTTTATTTTTATTTTTGTTAGTTTGAGAAATTATATATTTATATATATATATATATGTACAATTTAATATTGAAATTTAAAATTTTAAAAATTATATTAAACATTGTATTCTAATTGTTTTAATATAAATTGTACATTTATTCAATAAAATAATTATTTGAAATTAATGTTTTTTTTAAATATATATAAAAAGATACGAATAAAATTAAAATAATTCGATACCTACAAATTTATTTATTATTTATTTATTTTTAATTTGGTCAAGATCTCTAAAAAAAATAATTTTTGGTAGGGATAGAAATTGAAATGGTTTCAAATTCAAGGACCAATGTGTAAATAATTTAAAATTTGAGTGATTAATTAGAAATACGAATCCAAATATTGAAGTTAAATATGTACTTTAAACGATAAAAAAAATATATTTTTTTTCAACTAATATAAAAAAAAAACTAAGAATTATTTTAAAAAGATTAAAATCATTTTTAAATATGTTCATAATTATTCAAAATTAATTATTATAATATAAAAATGGTTATAATTCCGTTTTGGACCCTAAATAAAAAAGGAAATTTTTGCATGGATGAAGATTGAAACGGATTTTAAATTCAAGGACTAAATTGTAAATAATTTAAATATTTAAGGACTAATTAGAAATACAAATTTAAATATCATAGGTCATTTATAAGGATAAAAAAATATTTTTTTTAAAGCTCGATCAAATAAAAATTAAAGACATTATTTTTTAATAATTTAAAATCATTTTTTAATTATTATTAAAATCATTTTTGAATATAATAAAATTTATTTTAAAAATCTTGGTTTTTTATTTATTTTATTTATTTTTTATTTTTTAAACACTAAAATTTAGCCACAAAAGAATGGCGGCAAGGTTCGAGATGCGCGCGGACTAGTCTTTCTCGTGGGATATGAAAAAGCAGAAGCCATCGAAGACTCTATTCCCAATTCTCGTTCCGATCACGCAGAATTGTTTGATCACACATGGCTAGGTTACCGACGACCGCCGCCGGAGCATTAACGTCGTCCTCCCCTTCCCTCACAACCACTGTCGTCTTGGCCAACGGATCCTCTTCCTCTCAGCCACCCGAAACCCTAGTTCTCCGTCTCAATCGGAAGAAGAAGAAGGTCTCGTGGAAGGAAGGCACCGTCGACAACGAGTTCATGCAGAAGAAGAGCTCCAAGAAGTGCTGTATATTCCACAAGCAGAAGCCCTTTGACGAGGACGACAGCGACCAGGAGGATGACCACGGGCATAATCATCACCACGGGAATGAAAGCCCTTGCTGCTCTAGGGGAAACGGCGGGGACTCTTCAAGTAGAGTCAGTTGATAATTCAGATTACGTTGTAAAGCTGATGTTTCGAAAGGTTACTGAATTCGTGTTTTTGTTTTTTCTTAATCGGTTTGACTGTCCGATCATCTAATTTACATTTTTTCTTTTGTCGAAGTAATCGATAACATTTGCTTCTCGACGAACGATATGTTATCTATCCAATCGAGGGGTTTTCCCTATAACTCGAATCGTTATAGGTGGATGTATATTGGTCACCGTTTCACCGTTGAATGCTCGTGTTTCCTTTATCATTATCGGTCGTCTGGATCATCTTTTACTAATTATTGATTCGTTGACTTGAATTTTCTCTTTCTGCAATCTATCTCGTTGGATAATCGGCCTCTATTTTTCTGTTTTCATTCTCGTTCGGATAGTTTGTGGATTTTCGATTGAATTTCGATATCAAGATATCGGATATAATTGTGCAAATGGGTCTTGCAGATTATTTCCCCTGTTAACTGCATCTTGTTTCTTTTCCTGTAGTATTCACGAATATGGTTGGTATAGTTTTAGGGTCCTGTTTGCTATCCAAGTTCCTGCATCGAGACACCTATCAAGAAAATGAGCATATGAAAGATTAAGAGTGCCATTTTTAGTTTGAGATGTAGAAACCATCAGAAAACAACAACCGATGCGAGTTTGAGACCAGGATGAAGAATTACTGTAAAATCATCTCTTCTGTGTGTGAGATTCGAATGTGCACCAATGAAAGAAGCACTAACTAGGAGGTAAGGTGTAGGATGAAGGGCCGGAAAAGCAGACGTCTGCTGATCTATTTTTCAGGGACTCGAGAAAGATCGTCATTTTCATGCCTAATAGTAAGCTTGAGGCCTAGAATCCATTTGGTATAAAACTGGCCTTGGGTAGTTTTGAAATTCATCATCTGTTGAGTGGTTCAAGTCTGTGCAGTAGTTTAGTCTCTGTTTGAATTACAGCTTTTATTTTGTATAGAAACTGATTATGCTTATTTCTTTCCTTCAATCTAGGTTTTCATTAATTCCTGAAGACCAGATATTGTTGTTTGCTCTGGTAATTAATGATACTGATATCTTGCTGTTCATATCTTTATTGATCAGGTATCCCTTTCTTTTTTAATTTTTTTTAAAAAACTGTTTCTTGCTGTCTGATAAATTTCAGCCATGTAATCACTTTCCGACCAGCTGGTACCATCAAAGTTGTATTTATCCCACTGACCTTTTTATTTGAAAGTCCTCTTCTGTAGACGGTCGTTTTCAAAGAACATGATCTGGATTCGTTGGTTTTTGACCGCATCTCCATGAACTCTTCCTTATTCCTTCCTTCAACCTGAAGAGTTGAACAAACTTTCTTCGGTTTAGGCGGAATGGATATGCTTTTTGGTGGTGCAGGTGAAAACATAGATGTAGATGCCTCTGACATTCCAAACTTTACAGGCTTATCCTCTTATTCTGGTTTGTTTTTCTAATTCGGTTCGACTTTACGTTCTTGACTAGAAAGCCTAGAGAGTTGCGGAACAGGATAAACTAGATTTCATTACAGTTAGACTTATATAAGAAAGGAAATGATATTGTGCTCGACTGAACAAAAAAAAGAACCAAGTTCTAACTTCCTATTTGAACTTCCTGTGCTTGAAAATTTGTTGCCTCAGCTATTTCTCCTACAGAATGATCTCGATACAATGAAATAAAGAGACTGTAGTCTCAGATTATAATACTTCCATAGTCGCCATATCAGTTCTTACTGCTGACTCAAACATTAATTGCTTTGTTCTTTGCTGCAAATTCCTCCAGATTGAGTTTTTGCTCAATTCAATTGGATGGAACATGATAATATTTCCCTTTACACATGCATCTGTAGACAGTTGGACATGACTCCGCAACAGAGCATTTGAAGCTCACCATCACCCTTTTGCACGGAAAACATGGTCCACATGCATGGGAGCAGTCTGGGAGGCTGGATCCTGTAGGGTATAACTCCATACCAAGTACTTCTTTAGCCTTTTCCTGCACAGGCACGCATGACAAAGAAACTGAATGATGATTTCTCTTTTGCAGTGAATTTCTTTAAATGGTCTCTTGTTAGCGTGTTGCTATGGTTCGTCTTGTTCGACGTGCTCTCGAGTAAGCATCTATTATTCATATTTTTCCTGTTCTTGTCCCAGTTAGGCTATCTTTTTCTGTAAATTTTCTAGCAAAATGTTTTGAACTAGGTGAAGAAATGTGGGCTGAGAAAACACACAATACCTCCTCTTGCCTTAAACTGCCATCTGTTCTGTGAGCATCTTCTGCATTGTAGCTCACTGAAACATCACACTTAAAAGCTTAAATGCCATATCTAAATCAGAGAAAGATATCGATGTAGTTATAGGGATACAAATGCGTTTTCTCAACAACTAGAATGACACAATAAATAGATAATGTAAACCACAATCACGTAGATGATGATTTATCTTACTGTGATCCCAGCGAGTTGTTACATCAAGACTTCTACCAATCATTAGTATGATGAAGAAAATTCCGAAAAGTAGAGACATGTGAGCTACAATAGAAAATTTCTTCATTGTTGTTCGATAATGCAAAAGCCAAAACAATATAAGAATGAAGTGGTAAATGCGAAAGAAGGAGAAAATAGACTGAAAGTTTGTTGTAAATGTTGGTGGCTGACTGATGATTTAGTATGTTATGATCATTTTTATAGTGTAGATGGAAGGAAGGTTAGTTTTTAATGTAGAAGAGGTACATCTGTTGCATTTCACATGATCCATGGCCATGTTTTGAAGGTTCACATGTTTTGGCAAGTAAGCTCAACATCTTCAGAAACTTTAAATGAACTGTGGCACTTGATCTTTTATATGTACGAAGGTACATTTTTTAGTCTTGTAGATCAAATTTTGGATTGTTGGATCTTGTAAAGCTATGAAGCCTAGACATTTTGAAATTTAAGAGCACCATCTCTTGTCATGAGATGACATGTGGGTTCATCTTTTCTCTTCATATGTTGCAATGGTAGTTGGATTCATTTATAATCAATGTGCTTTCCACACAGGTTGAGGAAGGTTCATATTCATTTTCGGTTTATTAATTAGTCGGTCACTTTCTAGCAACATATGATGGGGAAATCCTGGATCTATTTACTTTTATAGATCGTTTATATAATATTTGGTAGTACTTGTGAGTAATTTAAGATGCTTATTTGCCCACAATGGAAAAAGTGTTTCTGAGGCAAGCATTTAATTGTTTTTTTCTAAATAAAATATGCTAGGCCCCATTTGTTTGTTTGTTTTTTTTTTTTCTTTTTTTTTTGAATTAAATGATGTTGCTGAATTTTATATTTGGTGGGTTTATTTTTTGAGTTTAAACCGTGTGAACGTTATGATATGAACTTCTGATCTTTTGGTTTAAAGTGCACTATCTCAAGTAGCTGAGTTATGTTCATGTTAATTTGTAACGGTCCAAGCCCATCACTAGCAGATTGTTCTCTTTGGGTTTTCCCTTTCGGATTTCCCCTCAAGTTTTTCAAAATGTGTCTGCTAGGGAGAGGTTTCCACACCCTTATAAAGAATGTTTCGTTCTCCTCCCCAACCGACGTGGGATCTCACATAATTATTTGGTGCGTTTATGTTTTTAGAACAATATTCGTTTTTGAATTTTATAGTTTAGGAAGTAAAGCACATTGAATACATCTCTATTTCCCATTAATTCCTTTGTTTCGTATTCTTATTTATGGATATTTTTTCTTCTTAAAGTCGAAAGTTCTTAAACTTAAAAGAGGGTAAGAGGGTGAAGGCTATCTCGATCTTTAGTTCATCAACCAACTGCACACTTGTTTCTCGAGCACGTTCTATATTATCTATGATACTTAATAGTTAGTACATCTTGAGCTAGATTTGTGCCCAACCAAGGGATATTGGCCAAATTATTATTAGGGAATGTGTTGCTGGCTTTTATTTGCTAGACGACACAAGGAATTCACGTGCAGCAAGCAGGAGCAGAAAGGCAAAGGGCTATTGAAATTTAAGAAACCCTCTGCCCTAAACGTGATGCTGAAGAAGCCCTTTGCATTGAATTAACATCTGCTACATGTGTCAGTTTCAGATTCATCAATACTTCCTATAAAGGTTAGAAGAGCTGTCTTAGTTGAAGTTTTGGTTTAATTTCTTGCTTGTTTGTGGTTGGTAAGTTGCGTTACTTTCAATTTTCTCCTCTTGTTTCAGTGTATGTAGGTGCTCTTTGACCTAAATTCACGACGAATTTTTGGTACGGGTGAGAATTTGAACTTTAGTTACCTTTACGAGCAAGGTCATGTCTTTTTATACAGCTTATACCCATGTTTCTAGAGCTACTCGGTCCATTAGGACACAAATTTAATGCAATTTTTTCTATTGGCTCCTATGTTTCTAAGCTTGTAGCCTTATTGATGTAACCCACTAAATGCTTGTTCGGGATGAACATCTAATTCTCTGTAAGGTTTTTGAAATTAGAATCGAGCATTCGTTGAAAAATGTAAAAGAAGGTTCAAGTTCTTCAATAAAAAAAAACCCATCAAAAGGAATTTCAACACGAATGAGAAGAACTAACTCCAATACAAATGAATGAAATCAAGATAGATAAAAGCTCGATTAACAGATGCTTATTATAATAAATTCTTAAAGCTCGTTCTCAAATCTTCCAAACGCTTTAAAACTATTGTTCTTCTAGTGTAAAATGTTGAAAAAAATGAGCCACTCTTCCTCTATCTAGAAAAGGAAGATTATTGATATTGTGTCGATCAAGTTATCTTAATGATTGCGTAAATACCTTTGCAAGCTATGACTAGCTGAAACGTTAGGTTCAACCATATTCTCGGTTATAATTTATTTAAATGATCATTTTTTAACGTCTAAATACTCTCATCCTTATTATCGAGCAAATAGAATTTATGCATAACAAAATTCTCTCTCATTTCATAATTACTATGCACAAAATGTATGAATGAATCCGTTTTTAGTTTCGTTTGTGGAACCCTAGATGCTAACGAAGTATAAGATCGTGAACAAGCGCATTTTATTTTAAAAAGAGGGATTTAAACGTATAATTGTTCAAACGTTGCACTTAGATTCACTTTAAATACGACACTTAAAAATGGTATAAAAATAATATAAATTAGAGATTCGAACTTCTGATCTTAATAAAAAGAACATGTCAATTATCGTTAAGTTATACTCACTTTGACAACATACTTTTTTTCCATGCTCATGATTAGGGGACGGATTGAATACGAGAGTAGTAGCTGATTTAGTGATGCACCATTAAGTGATATTCTTGTTGGGTAATCAATGTTTATCCAATAAATTTTATGGAAGGCGACTTGAAGATGGAAATATTTCTCTTGAAGAACAAGAAGTAGGTGGAACGATACTGTAGCCATGAATTGTGAAACGTGTCGATCGTTATCTCGTTCTTCGGATTCTGACTTTTCCAGCCGAAACTTATCTTTTCTTAATTTCGAGATTAGGAGCTATCCGAAATCATACTGATTTTTCGGCTACGTCTGGGCTTGGGGATTACGGTCGGAGTCTTTGATCTTTGATCTTCCAATTTCAGCTCCTTTGATCTGTTGTTTCAGTTCTCAAAAGCTTGGCCGGATTACGCTCCGACTCCGGCAATTTCGGATTCAGCATGGTGTTTTCGAGTTCATTGGTTATAGAGTAAGTGAGCTGAATTTTGATTTACTTATTTTCCAACACTGTGGAAAGTTGAATGTGTAGCTGAGAAATCAAGAACAAATTAACTGCCCAATTCGATTATTTTCTTTTTGCATTACAATCACTCGATTTGAACTTCCTCTGCAGATGAACTTTCCGTTCCTGCTTTTGTTTGTCATTTTGATTACTAACTATGAACCTCTTTCCTTTTATTTGAGCTTCTTTTCTCAACTTCTGCCTCTTATCATTGTAATGTACAAGCATGTCAATGTACACTGGTTTGCCTTCTCTCGAAATTCAGCTTCTCTGAATAATAATCTCCTATTCATTGAACGTTACTGTCTGACATTCACATCAAGTTGAACTAGTGTTTGTTTTTTAATTTCAAGTTTTTTCAGCATAGCTTTACCTTTTGGGAATTTATAAATTTTCTCAATTGTTCAGTGAAATAGTAATAGTTTGATCAAAAAGTTGAATCACTCAGTGTGTCGAAATGTTACTCGAGTTTCTTTAATGGAGTGAAGCAATTCCATAAGGTGAAGTGAAATCATAATCCAAAGTATAAGAAATAATGGCCCAAGGGGCCACCAACTATTGCACGTGGATTGTCCAAAAAGAACAAGTGAGCTGGTTTGTGTTCCTGCATCTGGGGCATGGAAGCCAGGCTTCATAATGAGCATTTTCAGACACATTCAGATATGAATTTAGTAAAAATATTGGATGAACAGGGTAATTTTAATTGATTAGACCATGCAAGTATCTGGTGCTAAAGCATTATAAATATGAGTCGAAAGGAGTTTGTTGAGACATGTTTACTGCTTATTATCATAGTTGTATGTGATGCTATGCGGTTTGCAATGCTAGAAAATATGACAGTATATACTTTCTTTTGGTACAAGGATACTACTACATTTTAGAAATGGGCTTTGGAAATATACAGTGCATGACATATAATGTTTTTTAATGGAGGCAGACCTTGTAAGAACTCACATAGAAGACATGTTCAGATCCAAAGAGTTTTCATTTCTATTATTTTCTTGATTATGCTGATTTTCCCCTTTCATTTTGTACATTTTAATTGTTCATCCTTTCATCAGGGAAATGATTTTGTTCTTTGGTGTAGAATGCTAGCTATGCTTTTAGGATTTTATTGTTTTAATTTGAAAGTAAATGTCCGTGGAAATGATTGGGGTCATGGCAAGATCTAATATAATAAACTGGGAAATAAAATGGTCTGGTAAAATGTATAGCATTACATTGCTTGATATTCAACCTCAGACTGATTGAAAGCTTTCTCTGAACTTTTGGTCATCACTTACATTGGTAACACCATCGTATTTGTTTCACATTGTTTCAAGAATTCAGTGAATAAACCATACTCTTTAGCTCGTTCACACGATTTAATTTATCTTTTAGTTATTTATTTTATTCTTTGTGTTTGATTCAACAGATAAGTCAGGTTATGAACATCCAATGGAGGAGTCTGAGGAGCTTCTCACAGATATGAAATTCAAGGAAAAACGAGTGAGTGGGTCTGTTTGCACTGGCAGGCATGGCTTGTTCTGTTTATAAGGTTTTAAAGTTGATCGAATTTCCTCTTAATAAGAATTTAGTCACATTAAAGTTGAGTAACTGAACATCTTAAACAGGGTATGGCACCTCCACGAGCTTCTGATCCTGGTTGGGCTCATGGAATTATGGTCAATGGGGGTCGTCAGAAGATTAAATGTAAATACTGTAATAAAGTTATGCTTGGGGGTGGCATATCCAGACTAAAGCAACATCTTGCTGGGGAAAGAGGAAATGTAACTCCTTGTGAGGAAGTTCCAGAAGAAGTTAAGGTGCAGATTCGACAACTTTTAGGTTTTAAAGTTTTGGCAAAGCTGAAACGGCTGAATAAGGGTAGCAAAAATGCAGCATCCTGCTTCCCGAGTAGGGAAGAAATAGATGATGGGGTACACCGAGTTCAGAATACTCGACGACGCTCTTTCCAGAGAAAGGGGAAGGAGGTATTGGAAAGTGTTACTAAGAAAGCAAAAAGGAAAAAGAAACACCCTTTTCCAACATCTTTTGTCGCTCAATCTGTTAACCAGAACACCTCGACAATAGAAAGCATAGAACAAGCTGATAGGGCTGTTGCCAGATTTATATACCAAGCTGGTATACCTATTAGTGCAGTAAGCACACAACATTTCCAACAAATGGCTGATGCCATTGCTGCTGTAGGCCCTGGTTATAAGATGCCTACCTGTCATTCTTTGATGGGTAAATTGCTCGACAGAAGTGTCCAGGATGCTGGGGAGTATGTTGAAGAGTTGAGAAAGTCTTGGGAGGTTACAGGGTGCTCAGTCTTGGTTGATAGGTGGATGGATAGAACTGGTTCTGTAGTCATAAACTTTTTTGTCTATTGTCCTAGGGGTACCATGTTCCTTAAATCTGTTGATTTATCAGAAATATCAGAATCACCGGAAGGGCTTCTAAATTTATTTGACAGCATTGTTCAAGAAGTTGGACTGAAGAATATCGTCAATTTTGTAACAGATACTTCTCCCTTGTTTAAAGCTGCAGGTACACTCTTGGTCGAAAAATACAAGACATTTTTCTCAAGTGTTTGTGCTGCACATTGTGTGGAGTTAATCCTCGAGGAAATTGAGAAAATGGAAGAAGTAAAAGAGGTTGTTGGGAAAGCAAAGAGGATAGTTCAGTTCATATACAACGATGTCTGGGTCCTAAATCAGATAAAAAAGAGAAGTGGTGGAAGAGAGATTATTCAACTTGCATCTTCAAGATATTTCTCCATCTTCTTGACTCTGCAAAACATTTTTTCTTTGAAAAACCATATTTGTCAGATGTTTACCAGTGGTGCTTGGATGCAGTCGAATTTGTCGAAGTCCGGGGCTGGACTTGAGGTGGCAAAGATCACAGCTGATCCAATCTTCTGGTCAAAGTGTGATCATATTACAATGGGAACAAAACCCTTACTTTCTGTGCTGCAATTTCTTGAATCAGAGGAGAGGCCATCTGCCGGGTTTATATATGATGCATTTGAAAAAGCAAAGGACAATGTCATGCTCGCTTTCAACCAGAAGGAATCTGTCTACTTGCCATATTTGAAAGCCATTGACCATGTTTTGCTGAAGGAATTTCAGAGCTCTCTTCATTTGGCTGCATACTACCTAAATCCATCGATATTCTATAGTCCTACTACATTCGTACCCAGCAAAGTTATTCAAAAGGGTTTACTTGATTGCATTGAAGCCTTAGAGCCAGATATAACATCCCAGGTTATGATTACAAACAACATAAATTTCTATGAGGAAGCTGTTGGAGATTTTGGGCGGCCAGTGGCATTACATGGTCGAGATTCATTGGCCCCAGGTTACTTTCAACCTAAAATATTTTTCTGAAATCTTACATTACTAACTGTTAACTTCCGTTGTTATGTCTTTTAGCTACTTGGTGGTCATTGTATGGAACTGATTACCCGGATTTACAACGCTTGGCCGTTAGGATATTGAGTCAGAGCTGCACCATTATACAATGTCGTAAAAGCTTGAGTGTGTTCAAATATATCTATTCAAAGAAGAAGAACCGGCTTGAAAAGCAGAAGATGAATGACCTTGCATTTGCTCATTATAACTTGCAACTCCAGGAGAGGTAACTTGGATGTTCTTTCTTTTTTTCTAAATGTTGGTGAGAATATTTGTGGCAGTGAGTTTCCTTAAGTCAGATGTTCCACAAACAAACTGCCATTCATGAAACTTCGCAATTTCAAATTTTCTAAAGTATTTGGCAGATG